AATCACATTCATCCCTCTGCAGTGACTAAGATTAGGGAAATCAGGTTATTTATTTTTCTCCCCATGCTTGGTCACAGCCACCACCCCAAACTGGTGTCCAGCATTCCCTTTTAAATGAGGCCCTGCTATCATTCTGGCACACCTGTTTGGAAGGATGCTCAACAGAAAGCCACATGATTTATTCGGAAACTGCAAGCCAGTCTACAGATTTTGGTGAGCAGTTTGATTTTCAACTTGTTCAGATGTGACATTGAGCAAGGGAACACTTAGTATGATTGGCTTCTGACTATATATGTGTATGGGTGGGGGGAGAGAGAGAGGGAGAAAGCCATGAACTTTCATATCTCTCTTTCAAGAGCCACACATGCTTTCCTTTCTGAGTATAGCAGAAGAAAAAGAAGGGCAAATCAATTGCTCTCTCCATCCCCCCCACAACCAAGAGAATTGAAGCTGAAATTCTGGCATAGCAGTACATTTTGAAGATGTTAACTGGTTTAGCTACTGCTTTGGCTTGCTGAGAACTTTTAAAATCTACTGAACTATCAGGGAACCCACGTGGATGTGATAACAACAGAAGTATGTCTTTGAGTACAAGTTTGCAGCAATTGTGTTTGAGGATGGGGGAGATGTGGGACAATTTAGTCCATCAACTTGCTGATAAGTAACTGAGGAAAAACAGAGAACAAACAGTAGACATGGAAGAGGGAAGGGATTATTCCATTCTACTCTTAGATCCCTTTGGCATGCATGATAGATACCTCAGGTATACTCTTTAATTGCTGAAACACAACCATTCTGGAAAATTTTAAACCATTTGCAGTTTTCTTTCTATCTACAAACAAAGTTTTCTTTTGGCACACCCATGGCACCTGACTTCTTTGTTTCCTTTTAACATTTAAAAAAGTGAATTTTCTTTGGCTACAATGATCTATGCAGTTTTCAGTTTGGACTATAGTGCAGTCAAGCCAGCCCACTCGTGTATCCTTTTGATACACATGGAGCTGCCCCTGAAAGATGGTTCAGATGCTATAACTAGTGTGAAATACAGTCCTAGTCCTGACAAGTACAAATGGAAGGACTTGTATCATTCCAGTCCAAGGATGTGCACTAGATATCAATTTCAATTCAATGCCAAGCTCAATTCAAAGTGCTGATTTTAATGGGAGAAAGAGACAATGTGAAGCACCTTTAACTGAGCCCTGAATGTTTTGGGTTTGAAGTAGTGCCTCTTGGACAAGCTAGCTCAGGTCCTAAGGGTATTACTTATTACCTATAGGACAAGACACGTTATCAATACCATTGGACTTGAAGGTTCATGGATCTGTGGTGAATCATGCCATCTGGACTGTGGAAGCATTCTTCACCACATACGTACAGTACACATCTGCATTGTATAGATTTCTTTAGCACATAAAGGTGCCCCTTTCCTCCAGCTTTTGGAAGAGCATAGACAGAAGTAGCGATCTCCCTGGTATGAATATTCAGCAGTGTATTTGCAGGTACCAATGAGAGCCATTGGGAGGCGGAGCCAGAGAAACTAGAAGGGAGGTATGAGTCAGAGTCTAGTCAGTTCAGTCTGAGACAGAGTTTTGAAGGGAGAAAGAGTCTGGGGTTTGAGGCAGAGAGAGTGTTTGAGGAGTGATTAAACTACCTTTCGGTGTATCTTTTGGTATAGTTAAAATGGTCATTAGGACATAGAACCTGCTGTTAATTTATTGGAATCCCACCACTGATGCCAACCATTTGGCAACAATGCTAATGATGCCTTCTCAAAATTGCAAATGTATCCCTGTATCCACCCCTCCCCAAAAGAAAAAAGAAATTGGGGCAACTAATCTCAGACTACTTGCATACTAAACATATTTTGTGTTTGAGAAACTTAGCTATTGTGTTCTTGATGTATGGCTTGAAAGAAGGTAGAAAGCTTTATCATATATAAAAAAAACTATAACAGAAATCTTTTTTCAAGTGTCTGATAAACATGATGGATGAAGTTCATGGTGGGGGAAAATTACTCTCCTTTTACATTTTGCTTTTATTGCCATGGTATGCTTTTGTATGAAAGTACCAAGGACTTATATAAGAGAGAGGTCCATTTCCAAGGGGCAAATTGAAATGTTCAGCAAAATCCTTCAGAAATTACAATAAGAACACAATCACTTACAAATGCTTAAATAACACTTCTGGTGAATTTTGTTTGATGGATATGGAACAACATGTTTGAAATAATTTTTCTTAGAAATACTCTTTATTATTATTATTATTTTTTGGCCTCAGTAGCCACAAGCTACCCAGATGATTTGTTTTATTTTACTGTCTAACCATAACTGCATAGAGAGGTATACGGGACCCCTGCATCAGTTCATCTATAGCTTTAAACATGTGATATTTGGGTCTCCTTATTGCCTGTTTGACTGTGCTATTGTCTTCAGTAATGACCTTACAATTTATGGTGGACCTTCATGGCACTATTACTGATTTTCTGGAATCCTGTAACATCCCTTTTCAGCACCATCACACAGATGTTCCACTTGTTAGGTCACTGAATAGTCTACATGTTTCTTGCATGTGATGAATAGAGCTTAGAAAGTAACAGCCAGAATTTTGTTGGTGATTTAGATGATCATCCAAATTATTGTATTCCCAATGACTATGTATGGCTATCATTCATAGCATTGGTTTACGTTGGAGACAACTTGACAGCAGACAACAACAACAACATGTAACTCACCAAATTGCCATTAATTAATGAGGCACTGGATGCATATGCTTTTATTTGAAATAATATCAGCTGTGGGTCTCATGGTAATTTTTAGAGTATATATTTTTAATTGCATTTTAATTATTTTGCCCTAAATAAATAAATAAATATGCTTGACTGTGTGTGCCTGAATGCACAATAGCTGCACACCTAGTAATTCAACCAGCATCTTTCTAAAATACATCATGTTGGGATTTTCAACATCTAAAACAGAGCATGAAGCAGCATTACTTGAACTACAGTGGTGCTCTGCTTGACGATGATAATCCATTCCAGAAAAATCACTGTAGAATGAAATCGTCATCAAGCGGGGGGGAACCCATGGAAATGCATTAAAAACTGGTTAATGCGTTCCAATGGGCAAAATACTTCATTGTCCAGCATAGATCCTCCATAGGGTGGCCATTTTCCGGTGCCTGTAAAGCAAAAAATGAGTCCTGAAAACAGCGGGGAGCCATTTTGCACAGCGGGTGGCCATTTTGAAACCCAACTATCAGCTGTTTTTAGATTCTCGTAAAGCGAAAGATCGGTTCCCGAAGCAGGGAACCGATCATCATCAAGCGGTTGTTTCCTATCTAAACATCATTTTGTGATCGCAAAAGCAATCGCAAAAACATCATTGTGAAGCGGATTCATCATGGAGTGGGGTAATCGCTAAGCAGGGCACCACTGTATATGATATTTCTGCTCCACTGTTTAGCAAAGCCTGATGCCTGTAATTATAAAAGTAAGTTGAAAGATACACAGGGTTACAGTTACACCATAACAGTGCAAGGCTATATCTTCTTAAGGTTACAATTATATTATAACTTACTTAAAGATTTGTGTTTGGGCAGATGTATTGATTGTACTCAAATATTTCTCACTAGTTACTCCCAATTTCTGTTTGTGAGATAACAGTATTATTTCTGTAGAAGGTAATAGGCATATAAGATCACATCATGCCTTCCATTATTTTCAACATATATTTGATGTTGCTAAATACAATTATAATTTTACAATTGAAGAGCTGGAAGGGACCCTATGGGTCATCAAGTACAGCCCCTGTCAAGGAGGCACCGCAGGGAATCAAATTCCTGAAGTCTGGCTCTACAAGCAGATACCTAAACCGCTGATGTATTTGGACGTTCATCCTGCTGTTACACTTCTTTAAAGTACAAAACTTAGTTACAATATTTCTTTCCTTTTTTAAAAATCTGACTCAGCTGACAGATATTTATGCTTATGCAAAGGAGCGCTGATGGAAACTGTATGTAGAAAAGTTTGAGAGAAAGATAAGAATGAAGCACTTAGAAAATGGGTGGACACATTTCAGTCATTAGATTCAACTTCCTCTTGCCATCTAGTGAGTATTCATGGTGTCGGATTCAGTTGCACTATTTGTAAAGGCTGTCAGTGATTGCGGCTATGGACGCTTCTTGTCAACTCTATCTGATGAAAAAGAAGTCTGACATTTTATTTCAGTTTCACACCTGATGAATGTCAACCATATCTTTGTACCCTGTAGATTTAACTGCAAATGCTGTTATTATTGTGTCTGCAGTAGAGAGAGTATGTGAGAAGAGGCAGACACAGACATGTAGAGACAAAGAGACTGCAACTTTTATTAACAGCATGAATAAACATTATGTGAGTTTCCTACCAAGAGAGTAGGAAATGAGATCGAGCACTTGGCAGGAAATGAGGGAAAACACACATTAATTGCTTTGTTTGTTTTGCAGCACTCTCTGTTCCATTTCTTCTTCAGATAGTGCATACTTGCTCAGTTAAAAAATTCTAGTGTTAGTAGCCAGACGTTCTGCTTAGCACTCCTTAAAAAGATCCATTATTACTCTTGGCTCATTGTTGTCTTACAGAGGACTGATACCAGCCGAGGATAATGAATTCTGTATTACAGCATGCTTGCACCCAAGTCTCTGGTGCTTTCCCATGGTCATCTGAAGCTGTGACTACATACAAATGTAGTCCCTCAAATCCAATTGCTATGACAACAGAACCATTGGATCAACTGCTGAATAAAAAGCCCACTATGTAAACCCCATTGACCCAACCACCTCCTTTAATTAAGAATAGCAGTTAGAGTCAACCCTGTGTGTTCTTGATAATGAAAGCCAAATGGAAGGAAATGTAGATGGGAAGACTCAAGGACTCTGAGATCAAAGGAAGGGCTCGACTGCAGTTTATGTTCTGGGTTGGACAGGGAAGGAAAAAAATACAACTAGATCAGCCATTATCTTACCTGTCCAGATTTTGCATTCTGACACACATACGTCTCATAGTATTTAGAAAATTCTGGTGCATATTCATTGATATCAAGAACTTGAATATAAACATTCACTTCTGATGTTTGCTCTGGGTTACCTAAAAAAGCAGAGGGTGGGGATAAACAAAAAACAAATCAACAGATCATACTCTATTATTGCAATATGGCATTTTTGCATATAATTTTGACATTACAGTGGTGCCCTGCTTGATGATTACATCATTAGACGAGGAAATCGCTTGACAATGAAGTTTTTGCAATCACTTTTGCGATCGCAAAATGATGTTTTAATAGGGAAAAATCGCTTCATGATGATCGGTTCCCTGCTTCGGGAACCGATTTTTCGCTTAACAACAATCAAAACAGCTGATCGGCAGGCTTTCAAAATGGCCGCCCGCTATGTAAAATGGCTCCCTGCTGTGTTTTAGGACAGATTCCTTGCTTTACAGGCACCGGAAAATGGCCACCCTATGGAGGATCTTCATTGGACGCTGAGGTATTTCGCCCATTGGGACGCATTGAACCGGTTTGGATTTTTACTTTCGCTTGACGACAATTTTGTTCTGCAGCGATTATGCTGGAACGGATTATCCTCGTCAAGCGAGACACCACTGTAGTATGTTTTCTTCAGGTATAACTACTGGATATTGTGAAACATTCCTATGAGAAATAAAGTGTGGCTTTACCATGGCAAACCTTGGATAAGTGAAACCGTGGGTATTGATCCTGTGGATAAGGGGGACCTGCTGTATCCTTTTGGATATCTGCACAGTTATTTGTGTGAGTCTGAAATTATGCAGTGTCATAATGTAATTCTCTGAAATATTTTGTGAACTCTTTTTAAAAACAAACAAAAAACATTTTCATGTCAAATGTTTAAGGGTTTGCTGTTCTCAACAAGATATTTTAAACTATTGTATAACTTTTTATTATAGGAACAGAAGTCATTTTAATATGTTTTACTACTAAATGAAATATTGTTTTTCTAAATGGCATATTATTTCCAGTCTGATGTTTGATTCTGATAGTAGACACTTTACCTATAGTGAGTTCAGTCCAATGGAAATTATAATAGGATGCAGTCTTTAAAACAGCTAGGCAGTCTATCATCTTCCAGGTATTTTGGACTATCATTAGTATTATCACTGTCTATTGGCCAGGCTGGTTTGGGTTTATGGCTTCTAGTTCAAAATATCTGGATGGATTAGACCATCTACTCCATAGTAGATTGCTACATGGTGAACTGAAAACACCCTCCTAGTGAGATTGAATTTTGTTAATATTTCATATCAGTAGTAACGTTTGTCTTTCTTTACAAAAAATATGCTACTGTCATTTTTCAGCGCTACATTTCTTTTCTTTTGATATTACTTAATTTTTATGAGCCTTCTCTTTTCCAAATGAAAATCCTGCAGCTCACCATTTGAATAAGGCATCTCGCGTTCTCCTAAATTGCTCCTTTGTGGGTTTCATTTCTTCTTTGTACTCCTAGAAACTAAGATTTGGTTGTAGACTATTCCAGCTTCACATCTATGCCCCCACCTTTTCAAATCACATCCCAAAGGCAAAGTCAGAGCACAAATGAGACAATCTGCATTTGATTTTGAGACCAAAGCGATAGGTGAAATCTATCTAGGGGATGTTTTTCTATGGCTTAATTGTGATTCTATGGAAGTCTCCCTTACATAATTCATGCTTTCACAATTAACCTGAAGCACAATTTCCTGTCTGCTGTTAAACTGAATCCTGGCTAATTTCATACCAGTCAAAAATATGCTGCAAAATTAGTTAGAATCTAATTTAATGTAAGATCTTGTACAGGGGCAGAAATTTTATATTCTTCAGGGTAGCTTAAGGCTGTTACAGTTTCCATTACACAACCTCTCTTCTTTTCTCTTCTTTAAAAAAAAATGAACTACCTTTTATGAAACAGACCAAGGGTAATGAATTCAAATACTACTTCATCATCATCATCATCATCATCATCATCATCATCATCATCATCATCATGTACCATCAAGTCAGTTCTGATTTATGATAAATCTTTTCAGGATTTTCCAGGTAGAGAATAACTAGAAGTGGTTTACCATTCCCTTTTTGGGGGGACACCATGGGACTGTGCAGCTTGCCGAAGGTCACACAGACTGGCTCTACTTGCAGGAGGCACAGTATTGAATCAACATCTGGCTAAACTTAAACCACTGAGCTATCCAGCCAGCTTCCAGATACTATTTAGCATCCAGCAAACTTATTATTTGAGCAATTCTACCTTGTGTGACAAGTAGCAGCAGCATAATGAGAAAGTAGCACACATTCTCAATTGTGGGGGGGGAGAGAATGTTCTGGAGATAGGCTAATAAAGAGACACTGATACAGGAAGTATCTTGAGTATAAAGTTCCTCAAAGTCTTACTTGATTCTGTGGCTTTGATGGTTATGTTGTGCCAAGCGGCTTTCTCTCGGTCCAGAGGTTGAGTTATACTGATTGTTCCATTGTATTCATCAATGCTGAATATTCCCTGCACATACTTGTCGTGGACAATAGAATACCTGCACAGCACAGAGAAGGGGGGAGGGGAAACTTTGTGACTTTCTTAGACACTGAACAGAAACATTCCTTGTGAAACAAGGACATGGAAGCTATTGTCAGTCAAGAAAAGAGGACTGGGTAGACATGAATATGGATGTAAACTCCAGCTACTCAGAAATCATAAAAAATGTACACTGATAAACATTTAAAATTCACTGCTGCCAAGATCAAAGCACCTCTTTTTATGAAACTAAATATGCCTCAGACCTATATTAATGTGAACCAAATCTAAAATGCATTATTCATTCTTATTTCACAGACAGGCTCACAGTAGGTGAGTGACTCGATTCAAAAGAAACAGCGAAGTGCCACTTGTGAAATGACTCACTCTGGCAACTAAGTCGGGACAGAACAGTAAATTTATTCCATCATGGCTGGCTTGATACAAATGCCAAAGAAACAACAGAAAGGAGGAAGAGAGAAAAAAAAGCACCTATTTTATAATATGCCCTCTACGTCTATTAAATACAAGGAAAAGGGAAGAAAATCATAGTGCTGGAAAAAAGAAAAGGGGGGGCAAATAGTAGGTTGATGTCTCACAAACTGTTTTGTATACCAGCTCAGTATCATTTAGTTATTTTGCCAAGAAGAGAATATGACTGGTTTTTCCTCCTTGCCTTATAGGAGATCAACCTCATGGGGAAGACATGAGTAGCCGACCTTTATAAGAATTCTTTCTTTTCTTAGTCCTTGATGGATCAACAGGGGCAATACAGGAAGCACACCCACCCTCACCCACCTCTGATGTGTGAGGAATTGCCTCTGATTGACATCTTATGGACAATTTTCTTGGTCTGGTTGTCTGTACGAGATGCAGATCGGATAACACATGGTATTCTGAAATGACACATTACTGTATGGCTGGGAGTGCACCTGGTAGAATACACACCATTGAAATGTGCACACAGAACAGTGTGCACACTTCAGATGTGTACAACAATAGAGTTTAGTCAGGGGGATGAAAGTAAGCAGTACATAAATGAAATGACCCAAAAAGTATGTTCAAAAGGTTGTATTTTTTTTTTAAAAAAGGGAGAGACGTTGGTCCAATTCAAATATATATGCAGTATATAGGATTGAAAGAGTAATCAAGACCTGGAATGGAATGAAAAATGCAACATACAGAAAGAGAAATCACTTTGCGCTTTAAATGAGAAACAGAAAGAGTAGAAATCTTGTTGGAGCTGATCATTTAAGGTAAAGTAAATACAGAAAGAAGTGCAGAGAGGAGAAAAAAAAACACTTCTGGAAAACCCTTATAGACTCCTTTGGAACGCATGCAATGCAGCATCGTTATTTAGAATTGTGACTTTCAAAATCAGGGTGTCTAGGATGATCTCCGGCCTCTGTTAGGAAAAGAACAAGGAAGAGGAGGAAGAGGAAATCAAAGTGGATATGTATTGGATGTGTGCATGAAAAGGTGGAAATCTACGCGTGATAACTTGATAGATGTATATTTTGCTCTACATTTGATTTCTTACTATAGTGCATTTGGATTTAGACCTGTTGGTCCAAGTGAAGATGCAGAACTAGGAAATAACACATCTGCTTCTTCTTCATTTTATTCCAGCTACCAAGTTTCATGGATCTTCTATGTGACTTTACAGGATGATCTCCGAGACAATCTGTGCCTTCCCTCTAAAATATTGCTTGAAAGAAGGGCACAGCCTCCCTATGTAATTTAATTATTTAGGCAATAATTCAGGTTTTAATAAATATTTATGTACCGATTTGTAAAGAATTAACATACAAAATGTATTATGAAACCTTGGAATGGGATAGTCAAAAAAGATATGTTAAAAAAGCACTCTGAAAGCATAACTCAAAATGTCAATCATATATTGAATGATGTGCCCTGCACCCCAACCACATTTGTGTACAGATAAAGGCACACAGATTAGTTCCAGATCATTTTGGAGACTCTCAGATCCCTTCTTCGTCTATATCTGTGTCAGTATTTTGTGTGTTTTGGAATCTCCACAAAAAGCCCAAAGGGCATGAATGGAAAAATACAAACATTCCTCACAGTAGATCGCATATTGTCATTTTTATTTTAAAATTTTTAATCTCAGTACTGATCTTTATATGAGGAGTCTATAGAGGGTGCTGTTGCATACTGTGAATATGCCTGTGCTCTTTCTCCTGCTGTGCAGTTGCCTTGAAAATACACAAATAACCCTAATCCACTCCATATTTAATTATTTGTCTGAAGACAGCACAATTCCTCTCTTAAATTTAAGCATACTTCTTGGGGTTTCATTTCTTTTCTGTTCCATCTCAAGAATGCTTCTCTCAGGAAGCCAGCTAGGCTGAGTATCTGTGATAATTTGACACACAGGTGCCTGGTACATTATAAAGGAATTCAATAGTGATATTTTGTGATTTGAAGCTCCAGAATCAAAGGTTTTCCATTTCATCCCCAGAATTCACAACACATGTGTTTTGACTCATTTCCCCCATTTTTGTGAGCCAACTCTATACTTTTGGAAATCAATGAGAATTTCAAATACTCATTTAGAAGAATATCTGTCAGAAATGAAAACTGGGGCTTGGTTGGCAGCATAAATGAGCACCAATCTGAGCTACATTCAGATTTAGATGTAGGCCCCCAGCTTGGTGGAAGGTGACTTTCCTTCCTCCTGCCCTTTTGGTAGCCTCTCCAGTACTCCAAAACATGTCATTTAGAGATCTGATGAATTCTGCTGAATGGGCTTAGCCATGGACAGATAAATCCCTGAAAACTGGATGGTGATTTCTACCATAAGCAAAGCTCTTCCACCACTCTAAGACAGAGTATGACTTCAGCCTCAGCCCTATTCAGAAACTTTGAAAGAGTATTAATTTGGAAGCATGATCAGAGAGCAAGTTTTATTCTTCCTCCTTCCCTGTCGTCATCTCCACGCAGACAGGATTCTATGAAAAAGAAAGACTTTTCCTCATGAGATTGGGATCCTGAAAGGTCAGGGTACTCAGTCACATGGAGAGGCTCCACATACAACAGATTGATTCCTCTTCATGCTGTCCCTCATGGGAAAGAGCTAGAACTTTCTCCTTGATCATGTTTTCAAGTTAACTTTAAAAAAAAACCTCAGCATGTAGAATAAGTTAGTAAGATCATGATCTCAGACAGGATGAAGTAATTCTGCTTCCTAATATGCACATGATTTAATAATGTTCCTATCTGTTCTAGCTTCAATTTGCCTGAAATAAAATCCTATGCTTGTATTACAAATTGTCAGTGAACATTTTTCCTAGTATTAAATGTGCCACTATATGTATTCCAATCTAGTAAATCTCTTCACAGATCAGATATGATCACGGTGTTTTCCCACTTAAAAGTTTTTGCCATCATATGCAACAGAAATAGAAACCAGGTAAGCATACTCTTTGCCTATAAACATGGAGATGGTCTTCTCTGAAAAAATAAATGGGGGAGATTTGTCTATTGATCACAGTGCAAACAAAGATTTGGGATATAGTCTTCATAATTTTTCAGCAGTCTGTGAAAATATCAGTTCCAGTCCTATCTTCTTAAGTTTTAGTTGTGCCTGAAGTCTTTCATATCTTCTTGTCTTTGTAAAAAAAGGTGTTTTGACAGAGGACAACAAGGCATAAAATGGCCAAGTGCTACAAGATTATTTTGTTCCTGCTTTAGAGTCAAAAGGCCAGTCCTGTTTTCATCATCAGCAAGGGGGTGACAGGGTGGTGGTGGTGGTGGTGGTGTTTTTTGCACAATAAGCCTTTGTTTTGCATTTTAAAAATGTGCAAAATACAAGTCTAAGATAGAAGAATTTTTGTGCAGAAAGCACATCTACACATTTTCCACAAATACATGCCAAAATTTGGTGGGGGTGGAAATAAATCAGGAAAACTTTGGTAATCTCACCCTGTGGGGAGAAACTATTAATTTTTTTTTTTCATTCTTCCTTTTACAAGAAAATAAGAAAAGATTTATATCCCTACCTGATTGGACTGTTGGCCTGATCTGGATCTTTGGCACTTACAGCTCCCACATAAGAATTGTTCATGTCCTCTTCAACAATCTCCATCAGGAATTCGTTGGCTATGAAAACCGGAGGTTCGTCAACATCCTGCACTCTGATCCTTAGAACTGTTGTATCTTCAAATCTAGTTTCTTCTGTCAGGAAACGCTCATCAATGTATCTGTTGATCCCTTTCACTCTTATATCATATATGTTTTGAGTCTCATAATCCATGCTCTGTATGAAATGAAGAAATGAAAAGAATGAAGAGAAAGTGGAATAGCTTACATTCACCATCAGGAAATTACTAATAGATCAATGATAAGTGTAAGATTAAAGACAAGAAAGAATAGTATGCTTTCTTTGGGGAGTGTTTTGAAACTAGTTAACTTCAGTGGGGAATTCTCCTTCTTGCTGTAAAAACATATTAATGATTCATCTTTGCCTCAATACACTTGATTTTTACCGTGAAGTTTACTGCCTTGGTTTTCTGGTGTCACAGTTCTGTAGTAATATGTCAACACATTCCCATTTCTGTTGATTTAAGGAAAATGTAATACAGGCCACTATGTTAATTTTTTTTTCTTAGATAGATTTACTTACTTGGAATAGGGATTTAGGGAATATTCACTAAATTCCTTGCTCACTTCAATTTAGGTTGTCTTGACTCAACAAGATATCAAAGCGATGAATTTTGAAGCTTTGTAAAACTCTGATTCCAGACAAGAGCAAAGCAAGGAAAGCTAACATTTTTTCCTCAAATAAATTGCAAAACTTGCCCAAACTGAGTGTGTCTTCCTTTTCAGAAGGAAAATACACATGCACAAGGACAAATTAAGTGACTGATGGTTTTTTTTTTAAAAAAGAGACAATAATTCCATTGAAGCGTCTGTCCTTTAAAAGTCAATGCAACAAAGCAATAGTGATTTGCATTTCATGAAATTGGAATAATTTACCTTAAAACATCATCCATGCAAATTTAGTTTCAAAAAGCTTGGTCCTGTTTGCCTTCCCTTTCTTTGGGTGATGCAAAACATCTTGTTGTCATATGGAGCAAGGTGAACAATTGTGTGGCTCCTCCAAGTTGCATTCAGCAAAGAGATAAGCAAGAGTTCACAACTCTAGTAATAGGCTGGACAAGCTCTAACCTAATCCTGGCAAAACAGCGGAGCTTCTGGTCAGTAGAAAGTCAGATTTGGGAATTGGGATTCATTCTGTTCTGGAAGGAGTTGCATTCCTTGTGGCAAGTCTGGGAGTGTTCCTGGACTTGGCACACTTGCTGGACTCCTAGGTGATAGTAGTGCCTTTGCACAGCTCTGCTTAGTGCATTGGCTAAGACCTTTCCTCAGTCTACTTAACTTAGCAATAGTCATCTCTGCCTATGTTACATCATATCTTGACTACTGCAATGCACTCTGCATGGATCTACCCTTGAAAAGGCTCCAGGATCTTTAGTTGGTGCAACATGCTCTTGCTGTCAGCTGGAGATGAGAAATCTCACAGAGCTTTCAAAATCCTTGTCAAAATATATTTTGACATGTTCAGATGTGCCAGCCAAACTAGAAAAGGATGAAGAACCTACCAAGTTTTCTCCACATCCTGCTCCAAGCTAGGGTAGAGGGTAAGTTATTGCCTGTCTACCAACACCAAAACTGTCAGATTTGATTTACATGCCCGCCCACCACTTCTCTTATCTTGCTCATCTTTGTCCCTGCCATGTCTCTGTGTCACTTTGAACTGCAGCTTTATGGTGGAGAAAACCATTGTGGCAAATAAAATGTTCAGACGTGCCCTTTATATAGCACAGATATCTCATTGTGACTCACATGCAGTTCTATAACAAGCAAATATATTTGATCTTGTCCGTTTCAGTGATTTGTGCAATGTGGCTTTGCAAAGTAGCATTGGACATCTCACCATGTTTAGCACGACCGTTCCTTCTTGAGTCTCATAGTTATTGATGATGTCAGCAATGTGAGGGGCTTCTCCTTGTAATACATAGTCCATGGCTGCATTGTCCCCTATGTCACGGTCATCTGCCTTGATTTTGCCTAGGACAGTGCCCACGGGTGCTGCCTCAGATACGTACATTTCATAGCGCTCTGAAAGAAATAGCCAAGCATCAGCATAATCTCTTGAGTGGAAACCATGCAATGCAATGGCAATTAAAAGCAAACTACCATATATTCTGAAAAATAAATATATTATTTTATTAAAAATATGGTTTAGGCATGTCTCTCAGTTCATAGTTTAATATGAATTTCTTCTGGAAAATTTCAGTTTTAGCTGGACTCGTCATGGATTCTAGAAAGATCTTTCATCTATGCACTGCCTTGTTCTTCTGAGGCATCTCACTGTGGAACTGATCTCTCTTCTCACCCATCACCCCCTCGTTTGCTTGTTTCCTTGTGTGTAAATCAGAATAAATAAATATGCATCTAGAGCACATACAGTAGGATCCTGTATTCATGGGGCTCCAAGTGCCCCCCCCATGCAGAAAATGCGGATTATAGTGAACACTTATTTTAACAGTTACATAGCATGATCTGTAGCTCCCACTAGTGGCAAGTTCTGGTAACTTCTCCTTTTGAAATATATACTGTGACCATGATCGGATGGGTGGTCTAAAAGTCAAATAAATAAATAGTAATAAATAAATATTTTTGGGATTTTCTTTTAATATTTTCAGACTATGGATAAATGAATCAGTGAATAATGATCCTGCAGATAAGGGGGCCAATTGCCACCTTAACATTCACAGTCTGTTCCAAAGTGTATGGGGAGTCAGATAGGATGCAACAAACTGAGCCATACAAATGAAAGAGAGACTAGAAGTCCATGTGATGTACTGTAGTACAACACACAGATGCACAGATATATGTTTCTGTATCATGTTTCTAGATGACTGCGGAATTCTGGGATTTGTACTCCAAATATATAAGTCTGAATATCTCTAACGTGGATAGTCTCCTTTGACTGCCATCTAACCCTAAATATCTTCTGGAAATAGTGGATCAAGTGGGTTAGGTAAAAAAAAAACATCTAAATTTTAAAGCGGACAAGATGAATATGATGTTTGCTTGCTTTTGAATGGATCAAGTGGATTGAGGCAAGGAGAGTGGAATGATCCCCTTCTGAAAGGCTAGGATATAGGAATGCTTTTAGATTTTTTAACCTATTACTGAATACTCAGGTAGTGAATGGCAACCAAGTTTTGAGGATAAAGGACATCATTTATTGATCTTTAGTTTTTTGAACTCCTTAGTCACAGTGTATAGAACAGGGAGACTTTCCCTTTAAATTGGGCTATAGTGTACCCCCACTATTCCGCTGTTAATTTGGGGGGAGGCAGATAGCCATAGCCCACAAGACCACATCTTTGACTTGACAGAGGCCTGCATTCCTATCCAACTGCTGATATTCAGAGTAAGCCGATTGCCAATACGATGTGGTGGGAATGGGCAATACACTACATTTCAGGAGTGGGAATTAGGACTCTCCATAAGGCCATCTCTGTGCCCCAGATTGCTCCCCACAATATAATCAAAAATGGAAAATGAAAGTTCCCGATACTTACAGGAAGCAATTCTTCTGTAAAACAAGCCAATGAGCTTATTAGGTTTTTCTGAGAGGCACAACTTCTAAATCCTAGAAGTGATTTTCTAGTTACTTCCAATTTAATTCTAAGGGATCAGTGCAGACTGTGGTCCCCTAAATCCTCCACAACACCTATTCCAATATATTGAAATAATGGTTTGGGGTATATTTACAACATCCATATCTAGATTCAGGTATCTATGTGGATATCTAGTAGACAACAATAGAAGCACAAAGATATATGCCTAATTGATATGCTAAAAACAATAAAAGCAGATAAAAGTGGACAGATGTAGCAGAGGAAAACAACTAAACAACACTTTTTTTGCATAAACATGTTCAGCAATTATATATCCAAATTATCAGCATCTAGTGAAGTTCCCCTTAGGGACTGTTGTATTCTACTGGTTCCACAAGCTTATTCATGCTATAACACAGTCTGTAAACTGTAAGTTCTTGCTTTCCCTTAATTAGTTATCTTGGTGTGTTGTTATGTGATGTTCTTCTACTTAGTAGCCTGCATTTTAAATGCTAGCGTAAAACAAAATTCCCAGTGGGAAGAAAAACAAATTGGTCAAATGTTCATCAGAATAAATGTGTTTTAACCATGCCTGAATAGATGAGGATTGATCAGGCCAAAACAGATGTTCTACAAAATGGTTGTAGTTATCAAGAAGGCTCCCTTTGACTAGCCAGGCAGTCATGTCATGGCCACAGGTGGGAAATGGTGAAGAGCCTTTCTAGTAGACAACAGGGAGTGAAAAGGCTGGTATGAGAGCAGGTGATCTCTTACATTACCTATATCCTGCATTTTGATATTTCACCTTGCATTGGCCTACCTATGGATAGCAACAAGTCTAAAGAGGAGAGCCTCTGCTATTCATAGGGGGCTCTCCACATGAGCCAAGACCCTGGAAAAATACGACTCATGTGGAAAGCCCATGGATAATGAAGGGCCTCATTTTCAAGCTTGTTGCTGACCACATATGAGATAGAGACAAAGCTAGAAACAGAGAGAGATAAGGTTGAGGATGTCTTGTACATTCAGTTTCGTAACATCAGAATTACACTTATGACATGCTACAATGCCTAGATACAATTTTCTCATAAATGGAACTAATGTGGGCAAAAGCCTTCCCAGCCATTGTCATCATCTGGACAGCTAATTGAAAAACTATGACCAGGGATAAATTCCAACTATGATTTTCATTTTTCAAGAAGATACTCCATCTAAAACTGGTTAAAGAACTACTCCAGAGCTGTTCACTTTCCTTACCAGGAGCATCATTTTCTTATCTGAATTAAACATCATTTTACTAGCAGCTTCCATACAATCCTGTGCACATCTGCTTGTTGAGGAACCTCTAAAGAAGAGTATTTGAATGTTATTTAATCACACCCTTGCATTGCAGGAACTGGAAATGTGCCTGCCAACAAGTTGTACTCAACACTATCTGGTAGAAGTGCATTGCAAGTGAAGATAGATGAACATGGGCTTTCCATCCTTTGTGAAGCCTAGATGCTACTCTTGCTCTTCTTGCTGAGGGATGTTTGATAAGCTTAATGGGAAACCCCCGTGAATAGCACTTCGAAAACACTGGCACAAATGATAGATTTTCTATTGTTAGGCAGCCAAGCTGGCATTACCTTTTCTTCAGCTACAGCCTGCTAGATTGCAGTGGGGCATGTGGCTTCCCACGCTACCTAGTTTATATGTATCACTTAATTAGTTGGGCCTCAGCAGAATTTTTGTCCTTAGTGAAACCTAATTTTATCATAGTCAGTATATTAACAGTAATAAAGAAAAATTAGACTGCAATCCCCAAAAGGGGCAAAATGGATTAGGCTTCCCAAGTAAAGCTTTTTAAAATGTCAGAATTATTCTGACAAGACAAGGGAAGGTGTGTTTTGGGAAATTACCGTTTCCTCAAAATGATGTCCTTTTTAGCAATGTTGTTGCAAGGGAAGAAACCAAGAGGAAAGTTCTGGAGTATGGCTCCCTTTCTATCGCTCATGAATATGGAAGGCAATATTTCTACCCCTTACCTTCAGCTTGATGGAATATGGAAAGCACTTAATATATGTTAAACTATTTTAAAAAATTAATCGTATTCCCCAAAACCTGACATGCATTTTTGCACAACATTTTTGTCATGCAAATTTTCTTACAAAAACTTCTGAAACCGCTGTAAGGTAGATAGAAGCAAGACATAAGATTAGGAGATAAGTAAAATGAAGCTATGACTTTAAGTGCTATATATTTGCAACATGGTCTGCCAAAATGTTCCACAGAGTGGAGGATTAGGCTAAGAGAAGGGGTTATTTCTACTGTAGACTTCATGCCACTAAAAATGGGGTGAAGCAGCGCAGGTCCCAGATGTAAGCCATATGCACATCACTTCATACCAGATGCCCTCTTCTTCTTAGGGGAGACGATTTCAGCCTGCAAGTTGTTCATGCCTCGAGATGTAAGGAGTCGATGCTCCAGACAGGCCACAAATGTTGTCCCCTTTCCACCTCTTACCCTTGAAAACTCAAAGGTGCTTCTAGCTGCTGACCAATAATGCCAGTTACAGGCCTCAGTGCCCCATCTTACCATAGTGACTGACCAATAGAGTATAACAACCCACAACTCAGTTCTCCCCTCTTCCTTACATGACCCAGTGTCATGTAGGTGGGAAAAAAGGTGTGCCATCCATACAGCAAGAATAACAGGGAAAAGATCCTATCATTTCCAAAGGAACCAGCAAAAGGGTTGATGAATACATTACACAGCCATGGAGAGGAGGACAATGGGTGGCTCTTGTGACTCTGTTCATGCTCTGCTCTTTCTGGGAAATGCACAGGTGGTGCCTAGCCCCACTTATCCTTTGTGCAGGGAAGCAGGAGGATCTGCAAACAGGAGACATTCTACTCACTGTGCCGAAAACGGGGAGGATTGTCATTAACATCAGAGATGTTGATAGTTACAGTTGTTGTTGCTGAACGTCCACCTGCTTGACCAGCTCTGGCTTGGATGACAACAAAGTATTTATCTTGGGTTTCTCTGTCTACTGGATAAACAGTCCTTATCACACCTACAGGAAGAAGAACAGAGAAATATATCTCTTGGACCAAACAAAACCCTACACAGGTCAGTGTTCTGTTCACACAGAGGCCAATCCAATGCCTACAGAACACTTTCAGTTTTTTTGTTTTTTCTAAATCAGTTAAAGGTTCTCTTATCCTTGTAGTCCCTAGCAGCAGGTGATCAGAGGCATCTTAGAGATTTTTATTTATTTAATTTATTTAAAATATTTTTTCCCTTAAAAGTACCCAAGGTGGCTGATACTCTTGGTAATATATTGCAATTATGACATATGACTAGTATATACAGCACTTATAGAGACTTATAGAGACACGCCAGGGACGTGGTGGCGCTGTGGGCTAAACCGCAGAAGTCTGTGCTGCAGGGTCAGAAGACCAGCAGTTGTAAGTTCGAATCCACGTGACGGAATGAGCACCCGTCATCTGTCCCAGCTCCCGCCAACCTAGCGGTTCGAAAGCATGCAAATGCGAGTAGATAAATAGGGACCACCTCGGTGGGAAGGTAAACAGCGTTCCGTGTCTAAATCACACTGGCCATGTGACCACGGAAAGATTGTCTTCAGACAAACGCTGGCTCTATGGCTTGAAGAGCGGGGTGAGCGCCGCCCCCTAGAGGCGCACACGACTGGACAAAAATTTTCAAGGGGAACTTTTACCTTTTATAGAGATATGGACCATGGATTTGTCTAATCCCTTTTTTAAAAAAATCCACTCCATTTGTAAGGCTATCATTACAGTTTGTGGAAGAATTCACCATGGCCTAACTATTAAGAAATATCTATTTTTGCCTGTCCTTAACCATCCAGCTTTTTTGGAGGATTCCAGGTCCTGCTATTGTGTCACAAAAAGCTCCTATCAACTTCTCTGCTTTCCACCCCATGTATCATTTCATACATCTCTATCATGTCTCCTCTTTTTTATCTCCTCTTTTTTTTCTTGAATAAACAATGCTGTATTTGCCAGGAGGGTACCATTGACATGAATTGGGGAGGGGGGCAGGGCATCTTTGTTTCTCTTAGATTTATAAATTATTGCCCTTAGGCAAATCTGTCCTTTTTTCAGAAATTAAGCATCATCAACATCTCTGAAGCCAGGCATTTGGCCTTGTCTCTCTGATGGTTATCATCAGCATTGCCTGCACATACAAACCAGCTCTAAGGAATTCTGTGCTCGTGCTTAGTCTTATCCTGAGTGGATGTCTTGAAACTGAACTTTTCCCATTTCACTTCTCCATGAGCAGCCTGCGTAATTACTCTAATTTATACCTTCCCTCTCACCACGTCAACCTGCTAATGTAATCTGCTAGCGTAATAGCCACAGTTTACTACATTTCAAAGCTAAACTGCCCCAAATGTTCCAGCGTTTTCCCAATGGGGCTGTCTCTATAACCCTTGTCCATATCCATTAGCCCTTTCAGTAGCCTTTTTATCCCTATAATATCCTTTCTCAGTGGGCAAAACCCTACAGTATATTCTAAGTGTCATCAAACCACAAGTAAATTACACAGGCATCATGATACTGACCATTTTCTTTTTGGTTCCTCTCCTTATGATCCTCAAAATGGAACCTGCCTTTTTCTTAACTGTCTTGCAATAACCTTAAGATTTTTTTCCTAGTCAAACAATGCCCGCACAGTTTTCCAAAAGAACTTAGGACCTTTTGTTATAACATACATCATTGCACTTTTTCATACTGAATCACTATTGATATTTTACTGTACACCCAAACAGAAATGTTGGGGAAAGGCTCATTGCTCAATCCATAAGCTGCTTCTAACTGCTTGTAAAACTCTCTCTTTTTCCTTGGGGCCTGTCCGGACTGGCCATTTTGGCTTGCAGGGTGGATCGGGCTAAAAGGGGTCTTGTTGAGGTCAGAAGACTGCCTTATCACTGGGCCGGATAGGTGTGTGACAACTCTTAAAGGGGAAGGATGACTCAATCTAAACATAAATACAAGCAGACCCAGGTGATTTGTTTTTTTGGGCCAAAGCATCCCCTCAACAATCTATATATCATATCCATATACCAGTATGAATGGACTCTTATATTCCTTCAGGGAAAGAAGCCATGTCCTTCTCATTTTTAGTTTCAAAGCAAAAAAGCCTAGCTCAACACAAGCCAACGCATTAGGCAACAGGAGAGGGTGCAGAACAGCTTCCTTACAGAAAATTACAGGCAGGCAGGAAGCTGGCCTTGTGTTCTTCTTGTATTGACAGCCAGAGAGGATGGGTTTAGGAGACCTGGTGTACCTCCACATATCTATGTCAGGATTTGGTGTTAACAGCAACAAGAAACAGTAGTTACAGGCACCTTTTAGTTAATGCTTGCTCTGTGACATTCCAAGGATATCACACATTTGCATTTCTGCATAGCGTTTAATTATTTTCAGTTTTGACTTACTGTCATTTTATTAGCTGAAAACAAGAAATGCGAAATTGCAGAATAATAGCTAAGGCAGTCAGCCTAAGCAATATCTTGGACTTGGACTTGGATGACCTGATATTTACCTAGTAATTGTGCAATTTGGATATACGAATTTCAGTTTCAGTCCTTCATCTCTACCAAAATAAATTCCATTGACTTGCCCTGCAGAGTTTTCATGGACATAGGTTTATTGAGAAAGGTATACATTACTATAGAAATAATATTACTATTACTGAAAAAAATCAATATATACCCTGTCCACAACAGCAACCAAAGGGGTTTACTTGTGACACACCAAAACAATACCTGTTGTTGGCTCCACAGAAAAATAAGGCTGTTCTGGAAGGATGCGGTAAAGCAGGCGGGCACCCGGTGGATCTGGTGCTTTAACCTGAATCACTGACGTACCTGATGAAAGATACAAGTTTTTATGAACATAGGGGCATATGACAATTTCATTCCAGGTAACAACTTGCTTTAAGCCTCTGGGGTAAATGATCTCACTTCTGCAGTTCTTGGATCCCTTACAGTATTTTATTAATTGTTTTATCGTTTCAATTGTTCACTTAAGTAGTCAGAAGCTTTGATGGTATTTTATTCCAGTTCTCTGATTTATGAAACTTATTAGGGATCTGCACCATCCTGCACCTCTTTGGGTTGTATTCTCTTGGCTGGAGGTGGGCAGATAAATCTGATGACTGTGTAACACCTCTCCCCCCAAATTATTTACATTTTCTATTCACAAAAAATGGAAAATGTCATGGACCTCCAGAAATACACAAATACTAGGAAAGGATTATGCAAGATTATTACTGAAAAGGCACAAGCAAGGCTGCACAGTGATAAGTATGTCTTATCTGCACATACCAAATATACAGTATAGATTCTATATATGGTTTGAAATTTTGCAAAAAATATATTAAGTAATCATATAGCATGCTTAGCTCTACCTAACATGATTAGTACAAATGTCTACATTCCTGCCTTTTGGAGCAGATTGTTGTGTTTATCAGGGCTGCACAGGAGGAAAACATCTTCCAGTTCTGTTGATAAGAAGTAGGTCCATCATTGGATGTCCTCAACAGACATTTTGAAAATGAAGCAGTTGTGTTGTAGGCTTCCGAACTGTTCTCACAAATTGAAATAATTCATCAGAAAAATTACATATGGCCAGAACAAATGCAGGTAGTAACAGAATATTCCAGTAATTTTTGTCACTGTTGGATTTCTCCCATTTATTTGCAATGAAAATATTAAGTTGGCAACCTTTGCAAAATCAAGCAATCCATCTTCTTCATTTGCATGTTGCTGGCCACTCCTTTAAGCTTTCTTCTTTTGCAAGCATGCTTATTGACTATGTGAGAGGGTTTTTTCCCCCACTGTCATTAGTTTTAAGATGTTATTATAGAAGTTATTTTATAAGCAACACAGGAGGAAGAAAAACAAGCAAGAAAGCTGTAAAACTCCCTAATTTAATATTTGTGGCACTGCTTTAAAAGAAAACAAAAACAAAAACCAAATAAGCAATCCATTTGAAACTCGTAACAGAATGCTGATAGCTTTTCGTATCCTTGAGGTCTTTAGTGAGAATTTTCCATTGAAGAGGAGATAGTACAATTCATCCACAGAAAACAATCTCATTTCTAGTCAGGAGCTGTCCATAACCTAGATCAAAATCTGTACATAATCCCCAAGGGGCTTTAGAAGGATTATACTATCAAGGAAATATTCTTCAGCTTTCTCTTTAAAAAATATGCAACATTCATGTCTAGCTCATTTCTTACATAATTTCTAAATAAAGATACAAATCGAGCTTTCCTCTTGGGGCAAACCACCTCCAGTCATGTACCACAGCTTTTTCTCATAGAAGCACTTTATAATGTATTATCCTAAGACATTCTGCTACTGGCTGTTTCAATGAGAAATTCACTGGTAAATTAGCCAGCAGCACCCTGAGGATTTTATGTTGCCAATGTGAAAGAGCCATATGATCTCTATATATGCAGAGAGAAAATATGTTTTCAAGGCACCAAAAGGAATGTCCTTTTTTTAAAGAAAGCAAACTAGATTTTGTGTCTTGTCTTTCACATGGAATCACTGAGATGTGCCATTGAATTTCACTGGATAGGACCACACCAGTGTAAGAAGATGTAAAATAATCACTGAAAAAGATAATTCTTTGATCAATGTCTAATTGTTTAAGCTCTTATTATATGTGATTTTGACCATGCAGTAGAAAGGCAAATGGAGCATTGAAACATAATGCACTGAAATATGGCCTTCAAATTATAGTGGTCTTTAACATACACTTGCCCTTGTAAAGATAAATTCTGAGGTTTGCTCAGGCATTTTCCACCTTTCACCAAACATTTCTATTCAAAACGGGAAAATAACCAAGCAGGACTGCCACATACAGAAATAATAAGCTATGCTTTTATTATCCCCATAACACCCAACATTCAAACTCTTGTTGACATAACTAATTTTAAGTGGAGGCAGATGCCAGATGTACTTACACCAGTTTGAAGGTTATTGATTCCACTGGATTATTTTTAACCCAGAGAAGTCCACAGATTATGCCATAAGTAAGTGTTGGCATTATAGAGTAGCTTTTACAGGCATGCCCATCATGCTTAGATTGTATAGGGAGGTTCTCAAATATACAGAAAGGCAAATTGAGCTTGAACATAAGGGTGAAAGGGAAAATAGCCCACGAAGGGTAAAGCAAGAAATTGTGTGCTCTCTGGTTTAGAAATGATGTCCACATAAAGATAATGAAAGTGCCAAAAATTAAATTGAGTAAATTTACCTTGCCCTGTGACAAAAGATATATTTATTTCACTAAAGATCCTAATCTGACAAGGGTTATTTAAGAAGGGATTGACAGAGCAACATATTTTAACTATTTTTCATGGCAACAACAGAACGATTGCTCCTCTTCCTATAGAATTGGACATTTAGATGAGCAGAAATTACAAAAGAAGGCGGAATAAGCAATATGGTAGCTCAAGAAAATCTCATTCAGGAAAATCCTATTGGATATAGTGGGGCACAAGTTGTAAGGCTCTGAACTGGTTCAGTTTTCTTCAAATAGCACACTCTGGTAGCAATGATCTAGTTCATGAATGCAAAGATTGCATCAATAGAAAGGTGGAGTGAAACACCCAATACCTTCTTCAGACATTTCAGGAACAGTAGCTTCATAAGGCCCACCCAAAAACTTTATCTCATTATCAGCCAAAGAAGCATCTTGCTTGTCCGTACCAGATGACATCTGGAAAAAGAATGAATAACAAAGTGATCTCCAGGTATCATTTTAAAAAAAGAACCTAACAGTATTTGACTTCCAGTTAGATGTGTGTTTGTTATGTTTGTTTGCTTCTTATCATTTAATTATTTTCTAGGTTTTATCTTTAATAAAATTATCTGCTGTCAAATGTTTCATACTGAAACAGCACCATCTACGTTGGCTTGGGCATGTTGTGAGAATGGCTGATGGTTGGATTCCAAAAGATCTCCTGTATGGAGAATTAGTGCAGGGAAACCACCCCAGAGGGAGACCACAGCTGCGATACAAGGACATCTGCAAGGGGGATCTGAAGGCCTTAGGGATGGACCTCAACAGATGGGAAACCTTGACATCTGAGCATTCAGCCTGGAGGCAGGCGGTGCATCATGGCCTCTCCCAATTTGAAGAGACACTTGTCCAGCAGGCCGAGGCAAAGAGGCAGTCCTGAAACAAGCAAAACCAGGGAGGTGGACACGGGACAGATTGTATTTGTCTTCAGTGTGGAAGGGATTGTCACTCTCGAATTGGCCTTCTCAGCCACACTAGATGCTGTTCCAAGACCTACAGAGCACGCTACCATAGTCTCTCAAGACTGAAGGATGCCTACTACTAGCTGGAAAGAAAATGCTCCGCTGCTTATCTATATACAAATGTGTAGTTTCCTTTTCACCTTTAGTGTAGCAGTGGGAATTCCCAGAGACCTGGAACCTATGTTCATAACCTGAGACCTCAGAGACCAAGAACTCTTATGGTGATGATAATCACAAGAGTTATTGACCCTTAATCAAAAGACTCACAATTTTAATCCTGAACAGTGCCAGAAACTAGTTTGGGACCATTTAATGTTGTTAATATTGTTGAATCCCCATTTTGTTATTGAACAGCTGCATCCTCATTTATGGAATAGAAAATGGAAGAAGGGGCCCCTGCAGACTTGACAGGGGTTGGCAGGTCACACCGATGTACATCAAATATGTAGAAAGAATCTCATCAATCATGAAATAAAAGTTTCTCTTTTAATTCTGAAATTATATTTTCAACATTTCTGATACAGTACCATAGCCCACAATGGGTGTGAAATTTTACAGCTTTGCTACCAACAATGCTCCCAGCACCAAAATCCTTGGTACTTTTATTTTAACATCACTTTGAGTCTGCTTTCTCACTTTTTTGTTGATATGAATCACATCCTACAGATACTCTAATTTTTTTTATTCTGATGGTTCAATGTGGCTACATTTTCTTTTTGAAAATTAAACCAATTAACTTTAGATTCCAGTTCTTTGACTCTTCCCACTAGCTATCCCTCTTTCCTGACCGTATACATAGTGGATATTCGAAAGAAGATGTGTCACAAAGGAAAACACAAATCTTTTTGGTTCTAGTAACAATTTAACTGCACAAACACAGATGCTGGGTTCTATGAAAGATGCTGGAAAAGCCTTTCACTGTTCACAATGTTGCCTGACCTGCTCAGCTTCCAAATAGTTCCAACCAACTTCACACGATCTGGATAATGGGTACATAGAAGCCATGTATACAAACGCTTTTCTGTAATTATCCACAAACCAATATGTCTTCATTTCTCCGCTACATGATAACATTGCAACTTTGTTCAAGGCTGCCTTGGATTTTCAAGCCCAATGAAAAATGCACCTCTCCCCCTCACCACCACACAAGAATACATTGTTTGTAGGCTTCCCAATAGCCATTTCAAGAAATCAGATGCTGCTATATGAGCATTTGGCTTGATTTGGTAGGGCTCTTTCCCCCACGCCCTGTAGCTTAAAAGTTTCCAAAGCAGCGGGCAGTGCAGAAACCTAATGTGATGATGACAAAAGGTGGGTTCGAGGCTTTTCTACACATGCAGCATCTTTTAGGTCAGAAGTGAGCAAGGTGTTTTCCTCCAGATGTGATGGGACTGCAGTGCCCATCAGCTGTCATAGTCAATGGTGAGGCATGCTGGGGCTTGCAATTCCACCATGCTGGGAGGACCACAACTGCCTGCTTTTGATTTATGTATCATGGTCAATTGTTTTCCTTCTGCAGTTTAAAATTCACATTTCATTTCCCACAAGCCTTCTTATTGCTGTAGTTGTTACTGTTGCTGTTGCTATTTTTGTTATTATTTAAAAGCAAATATTAGGCAGCTTAATAGTTTTTTCAGGAGACCTTTCTTTTTTTAAAAGGGGTAACATGTTTATGGCTGCACCAAACATAAAGTGATTCTATATATTCTTCTTTTGAAGGGAAACATCATATTTCCACAATAGTTACTCTGAGCGGCTGTGAAAAGTAATTAATGCAGCTTGAGCACTTCACCCTTTGGGCCCAATTAAATTTTAGTGCTAGTTAATTAGTGGTTAAACTTTTTGCCATCCATTCAGTTCAAAAGTTGCCTTACAGGAAAGGATGCAAGATCTGGAGATTAAAAATGGGTTTAGCTTTGCTGTTGTTTTGTTTTGTTTTGTTCTTTAAAAAAAGGAAACTGAGTAGGAGCAGTGCAGAAGGAGAATCATTAAGGAAATTATTGGGCAGTGTGTATTTTAAGTAGGGTGGAAAAAAAATAATTTCTTACTGTGCCAAAGCCACATTAATCTAATGAACCGTGCAGGGTCCCAGAGCTTTCTTACTGGGAAACGGATCTAGTATTAATCTGTGTCATTAAAAATTAATGAGGGGTAAATCAGCCGCTATTTAACATAATAGAATATTCAACTAAAGAGTGTGAGTAAGCTCATGCATTGCTACTCTGTAGGTCTACTCTGAAGTATTGAAGAAGAAGAAGAAGAAGAAGAAGAAGAAGAAGAAGAAGAAGAAGAAGAAGAAGAAGAAGAAG